TATGACCCAGATTTAAGGTGGGTCTTCTGACCTCAAATGACCCAAGGAAATCCCTCATAGGTGTGGCCAGATGCTTGATTTTTAGTTAATTCCAGATGTAACAAAGTTGACAACCAAGAATAGCCATCATAGCCTGTATTGACTGTTCTGTCAAGACATTAAGACTGAGTGCAGCAGAGTAGAGAGGAAGTACTTACCTTGCATCACTCGCTGTAATCCCCAATCGTTCTCCCGGAGATGTCCGGTTCCTTTGTCCTGAGGCACTGCGGCAGGACCGCTGCACATATGCCAAGCTGGAGGGGCTTGGTGGAGCCGTCTCACACCGGACCACCCAGCCCAAGGCCCAGGGAAAGCAGGGTGTGCTCATCTGCTGCCTCCGTGCCTCCCCCTTGCTCCGCCCCTCCTTGGATCTGACAGGCTCTGAGCCTGCGCCATCTCTCCACTGGCCAAAACTGGCTTTTGAAAGGGTCTGAGGAATGGGCCAACAACCTCTAACTCTAGATCAACGTGCACTACACATTCTGGGGGAGTAATGGCTGACTCCTGTGACAAGCTTAACCGTTTTTACCTGTATTGCTCCATCTCCATGTCTGTGCACTGATGCCTCTATCACTCTTGGGAGCCTCCAGGAACCAGAGAACATGTGGCTCCAGCATCTACCTAGACCCAAGTTTTCTGTGCACTGATGGGGACCGATAGATCTGCAGTTCACAGGACTGTAGCTCTCACTATACGATGCTCACCTGCAGTAATTTTGGCCATCCCATTAGAGAAGTGGTTGAGGCAGGGTCTCTGCTTTACCCCTTTGATTGAGGCTCTAAAGGTCCTCAACCTGTGAGTCGCAACCCCTTCGGGTGTCGAATGACCCTTTCCCAGGGGTCACATACCAGATATCCTGCATATCAGATATCTACATTACGATTCATAACAGTAGCAAAATTACAGTTGTGAAGTAGCCACGAAAATAGTGTCATGGTTGGAGGTCAGCACAGCACGGGGACCTGTATTAAAGGGTCACAGCATTAGGAAGGTTGAGAACCACTGCTTGAAAGCCTTCCAGAAGTTCACTAGCACATGTGGCTTCTTGTCAGTTTTTCCATATGAACTCCAGCTCTACACAAATACTACCATATTTGCCTTCGAGTGATTGGCAGGCCCCTTTATCTGTTTTACCTTATTTGTTGTTGTTGTTGTTGTTGTTGTTGTTGTTGTTGTTGCTTTGCATCCCTCTTGACTGCATTATCATCTTAATAACCCATTTCCATGTCAGCTTAAGTCACTTAAACCCACCAGAGCCCCTCTTCCTTCAAGGTTCCTGACCCTCCATGGAGTTTGACAAAACTACAAAAATCTCTGTATAAGTGCTAAGGTCCCCGGCTGAATTGGCTTCCATTGTGTTTCTCTTTAAATGAACACAGTCCTCTCTTGCCCCTTGAACTGGTATCATAGCTACTTTTTATTGCTGTGGTGAGACACCCTGCCAGAGGCAACAACTAGAAGAGTTTATTGGGGACTCACAGTTGAGGAGGGTTAGAGTTCCTGACCTTCATGGTGGAAAGCATGGCAGCAGGCAGGCAGATGTGGTGCTGGAGCAGTAGCTAAGAGCTTGCACATTGATCCACAAGTAGAAGGCAGAGACACTGAGAGTCTTGTCTTTTGAAACTCCAAAGCCTGCCCCCAGCAACACATCTCCTCTAACAAGACTATACTTCCTAATCTTTCCCAAATAGTTCCACCAAATTTTCTCAGTTCTTTCCATGGGTTCAAGTATTTTTTTTTATTCCAGGAATAAATTTTCTCTCCCAGTTATAATTAACGGCAAGATAATACCTCCATCTCAACCACTACCTTGTCTAAACCAGAGACTAACATGGAAGATGTTACCCACGTCATCTATTTCCTTTTGCAATATCTCTTCTAAGTGGGTAAGTTCTCTGGGAACAGACAGCCTTAATTCCATGCCTTGTGAGGGGAGTGTGTGTGTGTGTGTGTGTGTGTGTGTGTGTGTGTGTGTGTGTGCAGATGCATTTGCCTGTGTGTGTACTTCTGGAGGGCAGGGGTGGATTTGGGGTATCTTCCTCTATTGCTATATTCTTTATTCTTGAGACAAGACTCCACTGAGCCTGGAGCTTGCCACTTCCACTAGTCCGAGATCCCAGGTGAGACCCTGAGACCCATTTGTCTCTGCCATCATGGCACTTGAGTTACAGATACATACCGCCATGCCTGACAATTGGGTGGATGTGAGACTCCAAAGTCAAGTCCATGTGCTTTCACAGCAAACATTTCATCTACTAAGTCACCCAGAAAGTGACAGTTTCATGTCTTAACTCCTTGTGAAGGATGTCACAGCCTGCTTATGATCCCATCGCATGGATGCTACTTTTGGGGGTTGCAATATAGTCTCTAGTTCATTAGCAAATTGGGGTATAGCTGTGTTTTCGTATGGTAGATCTCACTCATCAAGAAGGCATGCCATTCCATACCACACTGGGGAGAATGTAGCAACTCCTCCCTTTTGGTTCTGAAATGTCACTGTTCAGGCACCATGTATTTTTTTTAAAAAAAAAAAAAATGTGTGTATTGTGATAATTTATTTTAAAATTGTCTTTTTTTAAGGTTTGCAAGTGAAGAAAAAATCTTGTATATCTACCCTTATATTTGCCAATTTCAGCACTTCCATTTGTAAGATCCAAACTTCTGTTATCATTTCTTTTTGCCTGAAGATCTTTTTATAATCCTCTTGAACTGGTGGCTTGCCAGTGGTAAATTTTCCAAACTATTTTTCTATGAAAAACATTCCTTACTTTTTTCTATTTGGAAAGATATTACATGCTGTTGGATAGTTGTTCACAGTGTTTTTGTTTTTTTTTCTCACCCACCACCTTCTGGTGAGGTAAAAATGTTGTTCAATTTTCTTTTAGTTTATAATAGTTCCTGATCAGAAGTCTAGTGCTGGTCTCATCTGGTTAGAACTACATATTTTTCTTTGGCTGCTTAGTGGGTTTTCTTTTCATGATTTTCACAAGATTTTAGACTGTCTTTATGTTCTTTAAATTGATTGTGTGTGGTATTTATTGATCTTCTTGGATTGAGTTTGAAGTTTCAGCATTTACAAACACTACCTCTACTCATTCCTCAACCATGTGCTCCCTTCCCCTTCACCCAAGACACCTCTGTGATTTCCTACAACATTGCTCTCACAGTTGAAGTCTGTCTTTGCATATTTTTTAAAATCGTTTACCTTTTTTCTATGGTATCTTATTTTATGTAATATCGAGACTTCTGGTACTGCATTTTTTTCACTGTAAATTCTATTGTCTCTTTTATGACTTGTATTGATCTGCTTCTGCTTTCTTCCTCTTTCTTAAGCATATGACTGTACCCTGTTATAAAAGTCCTTTCAATTTTCTGACGTTAATTTTAGACTCAATAATTTGGGAGCCTCTTTTATTACCTTTGCTCCATATTGCAGACTGGATTGTCACGCCTCTTGAAACGCCTGATAATTTTTAATTGGCTGGCAGACATCCATTTACGCTGTGAGGTGCATAACTTTAAAGTAGACTTTCAAATTGTATTGTACCTTATTCTGGTATTTGGTTATTTTAAATCATTTTGGTGTTTTCAAACTTTTTATCAAGCACTTTTTAAAATTCAGCCCCACCACTAATCTTACATCCTTTTAAGGACTGAACCCCAAATCTTATTTTTGATGTCTTCCATCATCACTCATGCCATAGGCCTCTGTTTGCCCTGAGGATTGTGAAAGTTGTTTTGTTTAGTGTTGCCTGGCATTTCTTTACCTAGCTCAGGTGCTTCCTCTCACTCCTGCAGATTAGTGCACAACCAATACATCAGGGGTCTTCTCCACAACTTACTGTTTGTCTCACCTGCCTCCAAATTCTAACCACATTGATTTTTCACAATCGGTAGTGAAGGAGATCCCCCACACAGAAGGGGCTTCCTCCAGGACCCTGGATTAGGCACAAACCACACCCAAACACCAGTTTTCACAGAGAGATCCTTTATTAAGTGGGGAAGAAAAGTTAAAGTGGCTGCTTTCTGACTCAGAAAACAGCAGCAAATGACCTCGCAGATGTAAGTTTTAAGAGGAGCAAAAGGGAAGGTCTGTGTTAAGATGGGCTAGGATGTGGTGGTAAATGGATGGGGGATAAGGGAGAAGGGGAAGAGGGCAAGGGCAAGGGAGAAGGGGAAAGGATTACCTCTGGATAGAGAGGAAACAGATGTGGCACATAGTGAGGGTGTGTCAATTACATTATCCAGAGGGGTTTCTGGTTGCTGGATTTCAATACTTGAATCCTGGACCTTGGCCTTAGGAGGAGGAAGTGGCCAAATAAGGGAATAGACCTTGGTGGCTAACTTTAGGGTTGTAATCTAAGGATTTTTAGCCAGGCATAGGGAATGGGAGAAGGGCAAGGCCTGCCAGAGTCATGCTCACCATGCTTGAGCTGGTCAGAGTCCCTTCAGGTATTTCTTCTTCTCTCAGCAAGGCTTCCACACTGTGTTAGGAATCCTGCTTTTGAGTCACCCTTGCTCCTGTGACCCTTCACCCGTATCACTCACTCTTGTTAGTAACCCCAATAAAAAACTCATTGGTTCAACAAGTTGTACTTCAGTAATATCCATTATTTTTCTTTCATCAGTTCCCTATCTGGGATGAGTAGACATTTGTCTTGTCTACCAGCAATGATGTAACACAATAGCTAGAAAAATTCAACAACATATAGCTCATTAATCAAATGCAACCTGATTCTTGTTCAAGTTTTATTAGAATGTGTCCAAATCCACTAACTTATGTATTAGCTGAGTATATTTATATGCCCTGGTAACAGAGGTAACTGTGACAGAAAACATATGGTCCACAGATGTGTACTACCTTCCATTTTGCAATAAAGTTTTATTCCACAATAGAAAATATTATCAACTTGTAGTAGATTCCAGATGTGGATACTATGGCTTAGAAAAAAAGTAATGGAGTGCTTGCTTCCACAGCACATATACCAAAACTGGAATGATACAGAGAAGATTAGCATGGCCCCTGCACAAGGATGACATGCAGATTCATGAAGCATTCCATATTTTTAAATATAAAGAGCAATATGGCACTACCAGAACCTAATGGTTCTACAACAGCAAGACCTGAACATCCCAATGCAGATGAAGCAGAAGAAAATGACCTGAAGAATAACTTGATGAAGATGATGAAGATAGAGACCCTTAAAGGAGAATAAACTTCCCTTAAATGAATCAAGGAAAAGACAAACAAAAAATTGAAGGAAATCAATGTATTCCTCAAAGAAAGCCAAGAAAAAAATCAAACAAGTGAAGAAAATGGTTCAATACTTGAAAATTGAAACAGAGGCAATAAAGAAAACACAAACCAAGGGAATTTTGAAAATAGAAAATCTGATTAAATTATCCAGAACTATAGATGCAAGCATAGCCAATGGAATACAAGAGATGGAAGAGAGAATCTCAGGCATTGAAGATATGATAGAAGAAATAGATTCATTGGTCAAACAAAATGTTAAATCCAACAAATTCTTCACACAAAACATCTAGAAAACCATAAAAGGAACAAACCTAAGAAAAATAGGAATAGAAGGAGAAGAATTCCAGCTCAAAGGCACAGAAAATATATTCAATAAAATCATTGAAGAAAACTTTCACAACCTAAAGAAGGACATGGCTATGAAGGTACAAGAAGCTAGAGAACACTAATTAGATCAGACCCCTCCCCAAAAAAAGTCCCCTCAACACATAATAATCAAAACACTAAATATACAAAATAAAGAATATTAAGAAATTCAAAAGAAAAAGGCCAAGTAACATAGAAAGGCAGACCTATCAGAATTATACCTGACTTCTCAATGAAAAATCTGAAAGCCAGGTCCTGGACAGGTATTCTGCAGACACTAAGAGACCATGGATGCCAGCCCAGACTACTAAACCTACCAAAGCTCTCAATCACCATAAATGGAGAAAACAAGATATTCCATGATAAAACCAGATTTAAACAATACATGTCTACAAATCCAGCCCTATACCCTGGAACTCAGAGACCCGCCTGCCTCTGCCTCCCAAGTGCTGGGATTAAAGGCGTGCGCCGCCATCTCCCAGCCAGTTTTATTTTTCACTTACACTCTAGAGCCATTTTCACTTCATTATATTTCTCTTCATAGATTCATCTCTTTTAGCAGTCGTATTTTTATTAGTTCTTTGAGAGTTTTGTAACATGTTTAAATCATATTCACATTCACACCAACCCCTGCAGCTTATCACAGATTCATTCCCCCATGGCCTACCAACCCTGCTTTGTATCTTTTAGTCCTGCAAGACCAATTTGTAGTGGCCAAATATTCCAGGCTGTGTGTCCTTCCACTGGGGAGTGGCCCACTTACCAAGGGCTACACTGTAAGAACCCTGTCCCTCCTTCTGGCAGCTAACAATGGCCAGGGGCTCTATAGCTGAGGGTGGGACTGTGAGCTCAGCTCTCCACACTCAGATTTTGTCTGGCTTGGATTTGCACTGGTTTGTGCAATCTATGCCATCTGCTGTGTGTTTGAATGTCAAACTGCCCTGCTGTGTCTAGAGTGCGTTTTCTTGTCATCACCCCACCTTGGGTGCTTACACTCTTTTGACCCCTCTTCCACAATGCTCCCTCCTCAGCCTTAGGGAGAATGCAGTATATATGTTCCTTTTAGAGCTGAGAGTTCCAGTGTCTCTTTCTCTACACCTTGGCCAGCTGTGGGTCACTGTGTTAATTTTTTATACATCTTTTTATTATTAGGGAACTTTTACTTCCCCTTTTCATTGCTTAATATTTTGTTATAGTTTTGTGCAATGGATTTTGATCATACCCAACCCCACAGTTCTCCCTGGATTTCCCCACACCACTGTGAGTTTGCTTGTGCAGCCACCCTGCTGTGTTCAGAAGACACTGTTTCTTTTTAGTCATCTGCTGCCTCTGGCCCTGACACTCTGCCTCCTCTTCTAAAATGAACCCTGTGAGCTTTGAGAGGAGGCTGTACTACATTTAGGTTCTCTTTAGGGCTGAACATTCTGCAGTTTCTTAGTCTCTGCAGCCTGCCCAGTTGTGCATCTGTGTAAATAAACATTCACAGCAAATACAAGTTTCTCTGGTGAGAATTAAGAGATGCAATAAATGTATTGGTATAATGAGAATTAGTAGTTGGTTTAATTACTATCCATGTAGCAGAATAATAGTAATAGGTCTTCCTAATGACTATGACCTCCCTAGCTACAGGTTCCTGGCCTGATAATCATGTCAGGTTATAAATTGAATTGCAAAGTAGTTGGTCACTCCCATGATGTCCCTGCCACTATTACACCGGTATCAGGCATTAAAGGGGAATAATAGAACAGGAAGTGTTAAATTGGGTAGCAATGGGATGTCAGGGTAGAAGGAATATAAAAAGGAATTAAAAACTAAAGACCTTTTGAAAAGGGCATTCGGAAACCTACTACCATAAAAGTTCACACACACGTGTGCACACACGCACATGCATGCACAGTTAAAATGGAGTTACCCTATAAGAAGACAATAATGTCCCAACTGACACCAAGACTAGTAAATAGAAAAGCCAGTGCCAGGACTGGGTTACTTCTTCGGGAGTTAGTTGCTGGCCAGTAAGGTCCCAGAGACCACTAAACATTACAGGCTATTGCCAATGCTCTTCGTTGCCCTTCAGCATCTGAGGGCAAGACACTATTGTTGAAGACACCAGCTGGGACTGATTTGGAAGCTTAACCCCTACTAGCTTTCATAGCGCTCTAGAAACAAGTGTCAATCTCATCCAGCTGTGCACTTGTGAACTACAATAACAACTGGCCTGACAAGGCATTCACACTGGTACAATAGTGGGTTGGTTTTTCTTTTCTTTTTCTCTTTCTTTTTTTCTTCAATTTTGACCTGTGTTTCCCCCAAACTAGTAGCAATATTTTGACTTATCCTAGTGGGTTTTTAAGAATATTTTTGGATTTTTAAAATTGTCTCTCTAATTTTTATATTTGAATGTTTCTGTTATTGGGAAATTGTTGCTAAAATTATGTTTTTAAGTCTTTTTTCCTCTTCCTCTATAACATTCTCCTCCATCCCTCCCTCTTCTCTTTTCTTATCCTGCATTTAGCCCGTCTTCTCCTCTGTCCCACTTCCCTGTCTTTTTCCTTTATCTTCATTGTTTCTATATGGACCATAAATCATTTTCAACTTCATCACACTCTACATCTGTTTTGTCATTTTCTGTTTTATGGTCAGGTATTATCTTATTCAGCTTTAATTCATCTAACGTGTGTTTCTGTATCTTTATTTAATGTCAGTTTGATGTCACTGCAGTTACAACAGTTTGCTTTACCCCTTCTGACGGGCACTGGGCATTGAGCCCTGAAGAGTAGATTGCTTGATGAAGTAAAGCTGACAGAGATATCCAAGCTGACAGATGACAAGTCACTATACAGAATATTACAGAAGAGGCTCTAGTGCTGAAAGGAATCTACAAACCCAATGAAACCCTCATCACAATGTTAATGACAGTAATCACAGAACTAGGAAAAAATTCTAAAACTTATATGGGAGCACAAAATAACCTGAGTAGAGAAAGGGATCTTAAGAAAGAGGAGCCGGGTGGTGGTGGCACATGCCTTTAATCCCAGCACTCGGGAGGCAGAGGCAGGTGGATCTTTGTGAGTTCGAGGTCAGCCTGGTCCACAGAACCAGTTCCAGGACAGCTAGGGCTGTTATATAGAGAAACCCTGTCTCAAAGAAGAAGGAGGAGGGGGAGGAGGAGGGGGAGGAGGAGGAGAAGGAGGAGAAGTAAGAAGAAAAGAAGAAGAAGAAGAAGAAGAAGAAGAAGAAGAAGAAGAAGAAGAAGAAGAAGAAGAAGAAGAAGAAGAAGAAGAAGAAGAAGAAAAGAAGAGAAATACTGGAGATAACCAAATGCTTGATCTCAAATTATACTACTAAGCCACAGAAACAAATATAACACTGTACTGCTAATTTTGACTTTTTTGATAATTATATACATAAATACATGATACATATATGTGTGAATATACAGTAAAAATGTGGTGCTATATATTTAGCTTATTTCAGCTTATTAAAAATATCAATCTAATGAGCAAAGAAAGTTATTCTCATCGAGTCATTAATCAGACTATCAGGAAAGAATGACTAAATATTTTAGCCAAATAAGTATACTAATTATAAAATAAGATAACAAAACTCTAAATCACAGTATTGTTCATAAAAGCTTAACCTAAATTACTAAAAGCTATGAAGATTGCACACATGAACTTCTTATAATGTAAACCATTACTTTGAAGTTTTATGTTATACAATCAAGGATAAATTTGCTCTTTTCCTGTTATTCATTTCTAACAGTATTAAATTCAGTATTGGAATTAAAAATGATATCCTCTTTTTGCAAGAGTAAAAGATGAGGTAAATTTTTTGCCAGGTGGGTGTGCAAATTCTGGTTTTGAGGGGTGTCAAGAGAAACCTCTCTGATGCAATGTTTCTCTGTAATGCACTCCCAGGCAAGCTGCTCCCTGTAGTTCAGATAGGAAATATTTCCCATATCCCTTACAAGTTCATGTACTGAAGGCCTAGTCTCCAGTATGTGACATTAGGAGGCTCCAGAGACTTTAGGAGGTGGGGCCTAGCTATAGGAATTAGATCACTAGGGCCATATTCTTGGGGGGTCCGTCTCTGCACCTCTCTCTCTCTCTCTCTGTGTGTGTATGTGTGTGTGTGTGTGTGTGTGTGTGTGTGTCTATCTGTCTGTCTGTCTTTCTGTCTGTCTGTCTTCCCTGCTGCTGTGAGGTAGGCAGCTTCCTCCTCCTCCAAAGGTTTCACCTTAGCTTCAAAGAAATGGAGTCAGTTAACCGCATGCTGGGATCTCTGAAACAATAAGCAAAAAGACATCTTTCCTCCCTGAAGTTGTGTATCACGCACTTCATCATAGCCAAGCAGAAGTCTAATGTCTTGTCTCAAAGACCATGGAATAGAAAGGCTCAGCAACTGAATTAAAGCATTTCAGTCACACTGGTCTCCAATGTTAGACA